GCGGTCAACTTCCTGATGACCATCCATAGATGGAGGGTCCTGCCATCGTCGGTCCGGAAAGTCGTCGCTCTTAGCTGGTGTATATGTTGCCAGCTTCGAGGCGTGAAAGACTGGATGGACCATCAGATGCGGGGGGATGTTGATCACAAATGAAGGGCCATCGGGCTCATCGCCCGCGGCTGATGTTACGGGCCTTGGTCCAAAACACTTGGGAAGCAGTTTGTGTGAAACATCCTGATCCAGTGCTCACTCTTCCGCTGAAACCCAAACCAGATCACCGGCGCGGATGGGACATGGCACGCGACGCCTGTTGGCTTGTTGGTGGATGCGTACTTGAGCCTTTTGCATATTCGCGCGGGCTTGAGCCAGCAATTCTCTGTATTTCCGGACGGAAGCGGGAGAGCAAGCGGCGTCGATGTCGGCTGGTCGTGGTAGGAGAAGGTCGGCGAAGATACGGCCTTTCCGTCCACCGTGGTGCAACTCGAATGGAGTCACGCCGATCGCCGGGTGCACCGAAGTGTTGTAGGCGAACTCGATGTCGGGGAGGCGGTCAACCCAATCTTTGTGGTCCGGACGGATGAGCGTACGAAGCATCATTTGAGCGGTTTGATGTGCCCGCTCCATTTGCCCGTCCGTCTGTGGATGCCGAGCCGAACTTGGTTTCATCTTCGTGCCGGACTCCTGCATGAAAGCAGTCCAAAATGTCAACATGAAGCGAGTGTCGCGGTCGCTGACTATGTCTTCCGGTACACCATGGCCGCAAATCCAACCGGTGTGCAAGAGGCGTGCCACCTCGGGAGCCGTGGAGTAGTACTTGCAAGGGAGAAAATGCGCATACTTACTCAAACGCTCCACAACTGTGAGGATGCCGTCGTGCGCGAGGCGATCGCGGGGAAATGGTCCGGTGACATCCATGGCAATGGAGAGGCCGGGTTCCCGTGGGATAGGCATCGGGCGCAACTCGCCGTAGGGGTTGCGATTGCGGGGCTTGCTTCATCGACAAACTTCGCAAGAGTCGCAATATCGAGTCACATCGGTAATGAGGTCAGGCCATCGGAATCGTTGTCGAAGCCGTGCAATAGTGCGGTTGACTCCGAAATGGCCGGCGAGTCGTCCGAGAAGGGAAGTCCGAAGACGACGGTCTCGTGGGACACGTAGTAAGTCCTTGCCTCTCGAGTGGAGGAGCAAGTACCCGTCGGCAATGTGATAGTGGCTGGCCGGCGGGTGATCCAAAGATAGCTGCGCATACAACGTGGCGAAGTCCGGATCAGACTCATAGCCCCGGATGAAGTGTTGCTGGAGTTCCTCGTCGAATGCGAAGGCATGATGTGTCATAGCGCAAAGATCAGGTCTTCGCGAGAGTGCATCTGCTGCACGATTGGAGAGGCCAGGGAGATGTTTCGGTGTGAAGTCAAATTGGTCGATGAAGTACATCCATCGTTCGATCGTGCTGCTCACCATATCCTGCGTCTTGTAGTAGGTCAATGGGTTGTTGTTCGTCACCCATGTGAACCTACGACGCCCAAGGAGGAAGTGCCGCCATCGCTTGAGAGCCATCACGAACGCGAGCAGCTCCTTCTTCCTTGCGTCATCAAGCAAATTGATGGGAGGCACTTTGTGGCTGAAATACTCCACAGGGTGCCAGTCGTCGCCATCGTGTTGTTCCAAGACTGCCCCAATGCCATAGCCGGAAGCGTCTGTTGTCACTCTCGTAGGCAAGGTGGGGTCATAGATGCTAAGGACGGGTGCCATGAGCATGGCCGTCTTACGTGCTTGGAATGACCGGCGTGCGTCGTCATCGAATACAAATGGCACCTTTGGCGATTGTAATCTCGTCATAGGTGCGACAATCCTTGAGTATCCGGTGATGAATCGCTTATAGCAGCCCGCCAACCCCATGAATGAACGAACGTCCGTGGTGTTGGTGGGCTCGGGCCATACATGGAGGGCCTCGATCTTGTCCGCAAGCGGACGGATGCCTTGCGGCGCCACATAATGTCCCAAGTACTCCAGCTCCTGCCGCGCGAATTCGCATTTGTCGCGGTTGGCTTTGTACTTGGCTTGTCGTAGCCGCTCCAAAACGGTGCGCAAGTGTTCCACATGCTCGTCTAAACTCCGGCTTTACACCAGGATGTCGTTGAGGTAGATAAGTACGAATCGATCCAGCATGTGTCGGAACTCCGTTGTCATAACCGCTTGGAAAGTGGCCAGGGCATTCGTAAGGCCAAATGGCATAACCAGCCATTCGAAATGCCCATATCGCGTCTTAAACGCGGTCTTGTAGCGGTCCTCCTGCCGAATCTCGAGTTG